GAACACGACCCAAAGTTACTGTCACTCTAGTGGAGAGAACGGTGATTCTGCTAAACCTTCCAGCATGCACTGGGCTCAGGAGATGCCTGTGACATTCCAAGGATATAGGCTTCCACGGTAGGAGGAATTTTCCTCCCTCTAATTTCACCGGGTCCTCGCCCGAATATTTATGCAAGATGTAGATTTCCTATCAGCCCGGAGTATCGAGTAACTTCTTGGCGAGGGCAGCCCGATTTTCGGGACCCATTAAGATTCTTTGCGGAAATTTAAATACCTCTGTCAGGCAAAACGAAATCGTATCAGGAACCATAGACTTTCATTGCTAGAAAGAGAAATTAGATTAACCAAGCCTCACTCCTTTCCTAGAAACCTCAATAAAATAAGAAGTCCATTTCAACAGTCTCTTACTTCCGGGACTGAAGGGGGGCCTCCCAAGACATCTAAATGAATTTATATTAAAGAAAGCTATCCTTGAGGAAAACCCTCCCATCTGCAAAAAAAAAAAAAAAAAGTATATATTTACACAGAGGAGAATACATAAGTATATGCTACATATTAGAAGGCGGTGGCTATTTAAAAGCAAAACAGCCAGAAAAAAAAAAAAATCCAGGGGCCGAAACCATAGCAAGCTCTACACTAAGAAGCTTTCAGCCCCCTGAAAACATCCTTGTCCTTTATTAATATTTAGTGGAAATGTATAATTGCAGATGTGTGCGGGGTTGGGGTTTTATGTCGGGAGGCGGGCAAAGAAGACAGGTTTATTACAGCCATGAAATATTAAACAAGCACCAAGCACAGTAGTAGTATGTCCCGGACTAGCCAGGGAGCAGGCAGGCCCCCACGTCAGCTGCACAAAGGGGGCTCCTGTTTACATTACCCCCCGATTAACACCTGCGAAGTTTTGGGTTACATCTTCCGGAGGCTGCAAAAAGTCACATGGAGGCATGTGGCCCTGGCTGGATGCTTTCACAGGGAGACGGGAAGGCAAGGCTCCTTTGCCTCGCCCCAGACAAGGTGGCGTGAGCCTGAAAAAGCTCTCCAAAGGTGTGGGGGAGTGGGGGAAACGGTTCGGAGCCCCCCTCCGTCCCCCAGCCTGCCCCATGTCTAAAGGAAAATTCGGTGTTCAAATCCCGCCCGCCTCGGATTTCTCAGCACCGTTCTACTGTGTTCCGACTGGAACGCTGAGGGGAGCGTGAAATTCCAAAAATTTCTCCCGCATCACTGTAGACATGTCCTACTTCCCAAAGGGGCAGGATTGCGTGCAAGGCGAAGACAGAGACCTCTCCCCCTTCCATGTATGTGAAAGAGCGTTTCTAGACTGCTCCCGATTTTAAGACAGAGAGAGAGCGTCCCACGGAATGGAAGTTTGGCCAGGATCGACTTGTCACAGAATATGGTGAATTCCAGTTTTGAAAATTCGGGGGGAAGAGGCAGGAGGAGGGGGAGAAGCATACTGTTTCCTACAATCTCTCCTTCATCTGCAATCTAGCATTATTTCGAGTTCTTTATCAGTTCTGAAATTCCTCCATGGCCACACATCTATTACGAAGATAGGTGGACAATTCTGCAAACTCATTTCAAATGCATGGCAACCTCACTGATGTCATGGATGCCTGAATAGGCCCAAACGCAGGCTGGGGTTTGTGTGTGTGTGTGTGTGTGTGTGTGTGTGTGTGTGTGTGTGTGTGTGTGTTTCCCCCCTTTGCACAACCTCACCCTTCCCCCCCCCCAACTCCAACTTTGTGCAAATGGGGCCTCATGATGAGATGTAGAGTTTCATTAGATAAAAGTTGTTCGGTGGGTTGATTAAGAAGTCAGGGGAAGCGTGATTTGGAGAGACTCGCTTTCCTGGTTTAAAAAAAAAAAATCGTAATCACATGTCAGGCTGGCCTAGACTTTCCCAGAACTGCAACTTGCCAGTGGAGTTTCCTCCCCTCTGGAGGGCATCTGAACCCCATAAGACACGCTGGGCACGTCCCAGTGGCTACCCGGCTCGTGCAGCTCTGAAGACGTATTCCTTCTCTCCGATCTGAGCACGGGTCATTTTGTTAAATACCGACTAGTATTTTGTCATCGGAGCGAAGAATTTCAGAAACGGTGTTAATATTTAATCACATTAGTACTGGCGTGTTTTACGGCGTGACAAAATAAAATATCATTACAAAAGTGGGCTTTGCCTGAAAGGGGGGGGGTTGGGGGTAGGGGTGGTGGACGAAAGTGCTTGCTGGAGCTGGGCCCCGGGGAAGGTATTACTCAAAGCCACTGGACGCCACTGCTCCCCGGCTGATGGGAACACATAGGCACGTGTTCAAGGAAAAGCGGGACATTTTACTTTAATGGTGTTGTGTTTCTTTTTTGGGTTTTTTTTTTGGTTTTTTGTGGTTTTTTTTACTCTATTTCAAAGTGGCACACTTCACTGTGATTTTCAGCCGGGGGACTCGGGGGGCCTGTTGAAGGCTCTGTGTACCTACTTATACAACATGTGCAGATGGAACTGTGGGGTGTTATCATAATGAAAAGTTTAATCATCCTTATTACCTACCAGTAAGGGAGCAGCGATCGGAGGCAAATGCCTTTCTAAAAGCCGTCACCAGAAGCCCCAAGGCTGCAGAAGGCTGCAAGGGACCTCGATTTAGGGCTTTATCTAGGAACCTGTCCTTCCCACATCACCGAGTGGAAAACAAAGGAGGTCAAGTGGGTGGACGGAACTCCCTGTCCTCCTGGGTGCAGGGGAGGGCTGCGTCGGGCGGGCATCTTGGGCAAATCAACCCTAAAGTGACTAGCATCTGTTTCCAAAAAAAAGAAAACATTTTCCCTCGTCTGTCTGTGACCATGAAACAAGCAAAATAGAACATTTCTTTCATGACATTTCTCCATTCCCAGCCTGCATCTTTTCATTTATTTATTTTTTTTTTTCCCTGTCAAGGAAGATTCCTGGGGTGGACTGGGAAGGGAGTGGTGGGACACCTTTAAAAAAAAAAAACAACTCATTAAAGCCATTCAATCCTTCTCCACCTAAGATCTTTCAAAAGACTCAAAGGCAAAGTGCTACTGGTTTTTCTGTATGAATTCACTAAATCGGGTTTTTCTTTCCTTAACTTTTCTCACCCCATTTGGGCCAATATGTTCTTAATTACTGGGGGGCGGGGGGGGGGAGAAGGGGGAGGAGGAGGGACAGCCAGGCCAAGCCAGGTAGAAGTGACAGGGGCTGGGATTTGTGCTAACCAGCTATCGATCGAGAGGTTGTGTACAAGAAAATAAAAGGGGGTGGGGGTCGGCGAGCAAGCAGGATGCTGTGTCCAACTCCATGTTTAAAAGGAGGCAGGTGGGGGGAGGGAGAAAAGGGGAGAAGACTCGGAGGGTCCCAAACTAACCAATTTATGGCCTTGCCTGGGAGAAGCCTGGAGAATGCTGATGCCGGCTCGAGCGTCTGCTGTGCATGCTAAACACCCGGCTTCAAATGAGAGAGCGGCGTCCCAGGCTGGGCAGTAGGCGAACAAAGAGAAAAGCAGCAAGCAGCGAGGCAGGCCGCATTCATGAATTAGAAACCCTGAGCGGGAAAGCTACCCGGGACAGGCGCCGGCCCTGGGAACCCTGAGTCTGAGCCGCCGGACTCCTGCCGTACGTCCCCTCCCCCTCCTGCCCATGCCACTCTCCCAAAACCAACCTAGCCCTTGAACCCAGGGCCAAGAGATGGCAGGCTGCGGGGAGGACTAGGGAAATGAAGGCAGAGGAAAAGAACTTTAAGAGAGGGCAAAAATCAAGAGATGTGGTTTTTAAAGATGTGGTTTGCATCGCCGGCCACTGGTTTCATGATACTGTTTAGCCTGTTGACACCAAGGGGATTCAAGTAGGGTTTAAAAGAAAAAAAAGGTAGAAATGGGGAGGAAAAAAAAAAGAAAGAAAGAAATGATGTTACCTAACTTTAAGAAGCCATTATCTGTGAGGAGGGGGATAAGGGAGGAGAGGAAGGCCCCATTAAAATGAAATGGATATCCACAGCAGCCTAGTCTTCTTTAGGTTAAAAAACTGTTATTCCTTAACTGCAATGGCGGTTCATTGACTAGCCCCCACCCCACCCACCTTCAAAGCCCCCAGGCCTGATTGGGAGGACGGAGGGGAGTGCTTAGAATGCAAAGGAGAGCTGGGACCGGACATCTGTCACCAAAGCCAGGGAGATATTGACAGACGCGGGTCCTTTGTGTCTTAAGAATATATATCCACATCCCCGTACGCAAACGATGCCCTGGTGGAGTGGCCTGGCCTCTGCCAAGCGGACCCCCACCCCCCTCCCCCAAGCCCCACCAAAGGTCCAGGGGCTGCACCTGGGAAAGACTGCCTGCCTCCCACAACCCCTACAGGTACCCCGCTTTTCAATGAAACTCCAACAGTTAACAAGAGACAAAACAGCTACTCATCAGGAACAAATGTCAAATTAGGCGTTGCCTCTGAGTGATAGTGATGCTGCCACCACCAGAGCTGGGAACTTTTTCTTTTTTTTTTTCTAAAGATGCTGGCACACAGGGGAGGAGCTGGAGCTAGAGGCTGGCTGCCTAGAAAAGGTGGGGAGGCAGGAACAAAACTTCCCACGTGTCCTGCCTACCAGGAGCCGGGCACGCAACCCCTAAAAACCGGAACCAGCCTGGAGGTTGAGGCTGAGACCTCTGAGCAACCAGCCGGAGGGGCATGGGGACTCTGCCATAATCCTCAAAGCGCTGCCCCCTAATTTCCTCGCACCCAGTGGCACCAGCATCTACCTGGCAGCACCTAAGGGGAGCTGGGGGGGAGGGGCAGACTCAGAGAGCCCTTGGTGTGAGTCAGAGGAAGGGTATCCAGCTCTGAGCTGGGCACTAAAAGAAGGCCCTATGGACTCCTAATTCCAAAGGTCTCCCTCCTTCCATGGGGCCTGCCAGGCTGCAGAGGCTAAGGCCTGCAAGGGGGGCGGGGCGGGTCTCTGGGGGGTAAGAAGGGGACCAGAAATGGGGGGGGAGGGCATATACCTTCTTTGCTGCTGGGGTTCTGGGGTTTGGCCTTCTCCCAGGGCGCCAGCGTTTTGTCGTCCTCCGCACCATCCACCAGGGTCTTGTCTGCGGGCATGTACCAGGTGGCGCTGTGCTCTGCCATCAGGGAGTCCAGGTCGATGGTGCTCATGGCGCTCTTGACAGCCTCCGAGCAGCAGCTGCCCAGCTCGCTGTCTCCGTTCTGGGCGCCCGACGCCCCCACAGCACACTCGCCCTTCTTGCCCCCCTTGAGCCCCAGGGGCTGGTCCTCGGAGATGCTGAACTGCTGCCTCTGCAGCTGGATCTGTGCCTGGAGGATCTCCAGGGGGTGGATCTCGTCGGGCGGCGGTGCCCCGCTGCTGCTCGTCGGGGTCCGGACCTGCTCCAGGCCAGGCGTGCCCGGGTGGCCAGCGCCCCCGCCGCTGCCATAGCTGTCAGGGGTCGAGGTAGAGGTAGACATGATGCCTAGGCCGAGCGGGGGCGGGGGCGCCTTGGGTCCGTGTTCCCCTGCGCCCACCCCCCGGGGAGGGAGTTTGGGCGAACCTGTCACCAGGGGGCTCCTACTCGCTTTGGCCAGGGCCTGGGGGTTGTCAGAGCTGGATGACACTTCGTCCTCGTTGGCGTAGCTGGTGCTCACCTCGTCGGAGGCGAACTCGCCCACGTGCGGGGAACTCCCGTCGGACTTGGCCCCGCCATCCAGGGACGCCATGAGGTCCGGCTGGTCCCCCAGGAGCAATTCGGCCCCTTTCCCCCAAGAGGGCGAGGTGAGCGCTTTCTCATGGGGCGTGGGCGCCCCGCGTGCCTCGCCCGTCGAGCTTCCCCCCAGGCCCGCGCCCGGCTGCGGCTGCCCTGGGCTGACCCCGGGCGCGCCCCCGCTGTCCGGTGCCGCGGAGTACTTGTCGAAAAAGGTCCCCGGGCTCACGTGACCACTGTCCCTTTTTCTGCGACCCCGGCCCCGGCCACCGCCCCCGGAGACCGGCTTGCCATCGTTCCCCGACGTGGATTCCAGGGTGTAGTTTGGGGAGAGGCTGGTGCTGTCCCCCTGGGAGGGAGGGTTGGGCGGCCCCGAGGTTTTGTTGCCACTGCTACTGGTCCCCGCAGGCCCTCCGGGCCCTGGGGCCCCCGGAGCAGTCCCTCCGGGGTAGTAATCCGAGCCCGGGTTGCCGGCCACGGCCGCGCCCCGCCGTCGGTCTCATTCTGGCTCAATTTCTCTTCCCTCGGGCGGTTCTTCTTGATAAAAGTCACGTAAGGTGGGGGGTCCTGGGCTTAGATCATGTTCTGTAAGGCGGTGGAGACTTAACCGGCCTTTTTGACTAATATTTGGGACGTTGGTGCTGGATTTGTTTTTAATAGTGCGAGGAAGAGCATCATCACTTTTTTGGGAACGAAAAGACCAAGATTTGATTGTAAAA